ATCGACCAATTTAATGATCGGTCCTCGCCTAAACGACAACTATTACTCTCGGTAGAAAGCCAAACGTCGTACATCGTGGGGTCCACCTACGTCTTTCAAACCCCATTCGGGGACACCCGGAAAATTTTGCTGACGATTGTGCCAATTTAACTTATGGGAACTCGACTTGAGTTTCAATACGTCGGCTTAATCGACTCAACTGGATGCTTAGGATTTGAAACCGTATTTACGAAACTTCAATGAGCCAATAGATAACTTGAATTTCTATGTATTGTAGGTCCCAATCTAGTCCTCTAGGAAGGTCAAAAATGAAATCCTAAGGCAAGATTTTAGACTCTGGAGAGAGGAAAGAAAAACCTCAAAATTAAGGTCAACAACACCCAAAACTGGCACCTAGGCGTCGAGCACTAAAAAAAAATGGCCAAAATGCCTTATTTTGGGTGCATAAGCTTCCAGAAAGATGTTTAAGTGCCAAAATGAAGTCTTAGACCTCTGAGGGCTCATGCTAGATAGTTTGGAAAGGTGTTTTGAGTACGTGACACCTTCGGAGCACACCAGAGAGCCGATCAAGCCTGAAACCCTGATTTTCGCCAGGAACGTTCGACGAAGCATCTTTTCAATCCAGAAGTTATGGGAGACTCCATGCAAGTGAAATGAGGTCCCATAACTTCAAAATGAGGTATTTTGGTCGGTCTGTCACTAATGAAATTGGTGTCATCAGTCATCCTAAGCTTCGACGAGGGGAGGGTGTCCCGAACCCTAATTTTCCTATAGTGCATATAGGTGGACTCCATGACATTCTGTGGTTGTGGGAGGTTCCAGACAGCTGTGTGGTGACTTCTAATCATGAAATTAGACACCAACCATGCCTCACATCCCGAATAAGCCTCCCAGTGAGAATTATCCCTGGTTGGGTTGAATCGCCACCAAATCTAGTTCCTAGCCTCGAACAAGGGCTAGAAGGTTTCAGATAGGTGTCTGGAGTTATTGGATGCTACAGACTAATTGTAGACCTCCCTAGTCCATGTAGATGGACACCCTGCACTTGTGACATCAAAAATTGATGCCAACAATCTCTTTTATAGATTTCTTCACAACCAAGGCAGAGCTAAAAAAATTATAAGAAAATTTACACACACACACACACACACACACACACACACACACACACACACACACACACACACACACACACACACACACACACACACACACATATATATATAGCACACCTAAACTTTTATATTTATGTTCATCCGACTTTTGTTTCATAAACTTATGCTTGAAAAAAAGTGTATTTATCCTTTATAATAGTTAGCGATAGTTGAAAATATATCACAAGAATTTAAATCATTCATTAACCTCTAAACTTGCATATTTATCATGGAGTAAAACAAATATACTTAATGATAACACAAAGTTGTGATTTTGTGAGCATATCTCCATGATATGTCTTACATTACATATATCGTGGTGTTGAAATAACTATTTTATTTTTACATAAGATGTGTTAATAGCTTCAATTAAGTTAGATTTTAGGTAAAACGATCATATTCGTACTAGGATGTTTGCAATCAGACGTCATTGGTGGCTGATGGTCGACAGTTGCTGGTGGTGACAACCATTAGTGGTCAACAATGACCGACGAGCAATGGTTGGTGAATGGTGATTATCATCGGGTTGTCAATATCAGTATTGGGCACAATGTCTCTATTCAGACTATGATGTTTGCAAACTGGGGTTGTCGGTGGCCAGTGGTCGCCGGTGACTGCTGAAAATGATCGAAGGTGTTCGACAGTGGCCGATGGTTATGGAGTTTCGTGGTTATCATTGGGTCTTCAATACAATTATTAGACACAATAATCATATTTGAACTATGATGTTTGTGAAGAAGGGTCATCAGTGGTTGGTCGTCAGCTGTGGCGAGTGCTGACAGTCGGTTATGGCCGGTGGATGGTAGCCGATGAGCTTGATGAACGGTGGTTGGCAGCTACGGATGTTGTTCTTAAATGTTTGGCCTTCAATACAATTGTTAGGCACAATGGTTGTACTCAAACTTTGATTATTACAAATAGAGGTCGTTGGTGGTCGGTGGTCACTAGTCGCAGATGGTGATAGCTAGTGGTGGTTGATAATGGTTGGTAGGTCGTGTTTGACGATAGTGGTTGAAGTCTGTGAAAGCTAGCAGTTATTGTCGGGACTGCTCTCTATATCATGCTCTATAATTCTTCTTCTTCCCCACCCTCTTCCAAGTGAAGCGAGTGGATATATTTATTAATTTTTTAGGGGGAATTTTGTTCTTTTAGCAAATAACTTCTTCAATCAGATGATTTGACATTTCATATTGATCCACCTTGATCATAAAAGTTTTTTTTAATGACATAAATGCTTTAATGACCTTAAGATTTAGTAATCTTGTGCCCGTTAGATTCATCTCGTCGAGGTGCTTTATTTGACTAGAAATATGACAAATTTGTAGCTCATTTGACCATTCAAATGATAATCTAAAACCTACTAATGCGATTTAATGACTTGATCTGGGATTGGTAAGACTTGGATTAAGCATATTTTGATATCACTAGGTTCATCTAAGACTGTCCGTTTGACTATATGCTTGTGGAAATCTAGGTTCGGATAATCTTAAATTTAAATTTAGAAGATCTTTCATAAAAAATGCATTGAGATTTTTGCTTAATAAAATTTGTTTAGGACACATTAGCTATATAAAATCTAATAATACATATACTTCACATATTTGTCCATTGTTTGATAAATCTTATCTTATTACTTCAAGAACTTAAATAATATATTCTAACAATAAAAGCAGATTAATGAGCAACCCATATGATGTGAGTCTCAAGCTGTATCTCCATCATATTGAAGAGAAATTTCTTTATTCAACCATCTATTAGTTGATAATTCTCTGTTTTTTAATTATCAGAGAACTTTATTAAATTATTTTTCTATAAAATTACTCTTCATTTGGATGAACTCCTAACCACATAAATTGATTGCTTCATTTTGCTTCATCATAACCTTAACCACATAATTATTCAATCCTTAACCCATGATTTAGAAGAAAAAAAAGTCTTATTGCTCTTTTAAGAGTTAGAAGTCTCATCAATGTGCATTAGCATAAGAAATCACTCAATAAAACAACCTCTTTTATCAATAAAATGGATAACAATAGTTGTTTTATCTTTAAACTGATATAACTTGAAACCCATCTATTATATATGTGAATAACTAAATCATTAATAATAATATTTGCAGTCTCAACAATCACTTGTGCAAATTTTTATTCTAAATATTAGAAGAAATAAATTTGTTGTTTGTTGAGCATTTTTGTAACTTGTTGTCAATTGCATTCAATTGATACAATGCATTTTGATCACAAGATTTTTTTAGCAAAACTCATATTTTTATCGCGATTTATTAAGCGCCTGTTTGGGGCAGCTTATAAATGCGGGTGGTGTTTTGAAAATGTTGTCGTCGCCGCGTTTGTTTCTTGCCTTCCGAAAACTTATTGGAAAACACCATTTCGATTTTCTTAATAGACGTGGGCCGCAGGATCGACCCGTGGCCCACGTCTTGAATCCGCGTCAAGCGAATTTTTTACTTCGCCGCAATTCTTTTGTCCTTCTCTTTCCTCTCCTCCTTCGCTGAAAATGAGTTAGCTGCGGTGTCTTTAGGTCGAGCATTTAATTCACAGCTCTTACCATCTTGCCGCGAAGCTGACCTCTTTTGAACAATGTCATTGTCGACTTCGAAGAGAAGGCTAGCGCACATTTGTTTTTCTTACTAATTCGGAAGAAGGTCAATCATATGTGTTTGCTTGTTTTCATTTTTTTATTCCTTCAATTTTCCTCGTGAATTGCTTATGTCACGAATATACTATCCTTATATTTTTTTTTGGATGGCCTTGGAAGAAAAAAACATATAGAACAAATTTATGGCATGAATACATTGTGAAGTTAGGTTATGAAGAAAAAAATAAGTATTTTTTATTATTTCACATCCATGTTTTATTTTGTAATTGATCACGAAATCATCTAGATTTTTCCTACGATATAGTTTACCTTACTTGAAATAAACGTGATCACGAAATCATCTAGATTTTTCCTACGATATAATTTACCTTGAAATAAACATAGTATGTTTTGATAAGCAATTCCATAGCTCATTTGGTTTATTTGTTGTTCATGTGTTTTAAGTTCATGACTTCCCCCAAACGAACAAGTTGGGTAGGAAGGATTTGAAATTTTTTTTTATGATTAGTCTTGTGAGCTCGGTCCACGATTTGATTTGGTAATTGTGACATTTATGGAAGTTAATTAAATTTTATTTAATTCTTTCTTCTTCTATGGATTCTCCCGCCTTCCTCTTGTTGGTAAATTGAGGAAAGCAATATTAATTAAGATTGCTTAATATTTCTTTCTCCATATCTCCTCCCTTGCTTCCTTTGGAATTCGTTAATTAAAAGACAACTAATTAAAAGTTGCTTCCTTAATGGGCCAAATTAGACCATTTAAGGAAGAATAAAGAAATAATTGCAAATCAAGCTATGTCTTTAATGTGTCTAAGAACAGCTAATTAAGGTAGTTAATCTGGAATTAAAAGCTGGCTCAAAAATTTCACCTGCTTTCTCTCCCGAGGCTTATGTTTAGGGTTTAGGGCAAAAATTGACATGATTACCAGCAAATCTGTCCAAATAATCTTGAATGAAGAAACAGATCACGCAAGCGAGTGCATTCAGAATGTCAATTTTATCAAGATAGATATCAATTTTGCTAGGGTTTTGCGTTTGAGCCAGCGACATGCAAATTGAAGCTTTTAAATAGTAATAATAATTATTATTATAATATAATTTAAAAAAGTTCCTATTAAAGTAACGCAGACACCCGCTCGCCGTAAAGTTTCTCCCCCTGGCCCGAATGCTGGCGAACCAGCCGCCACCGTCGTCCAAGACTCCCCCTCGCACTCGAAATTTGCGGCGCGGTCCGAGCTCCTCGTCGGCGAAGCCTCTCCCGACGCCTCCTCTCCTCCGTGCCTTAGCGCTCCGAGGGTTTTCGTGCAAGATCCGTGGTCTTCTTCTTCTCTCGGCCAACAGCACACACACCCTGTTCTTTCACGCCGGCGAAGTCTTGCCGGCCTTCATTGACGTATTGCAATTTTCGCATTTTCTTTTCCGAATTCGCTTTCAGTTTTCTTGTAAATTGAAAATATGTTTTAGAGAAGGGCGATTTGTTTTCGCTCTTTTTAAGCGTGAAAGCGAAATCATCAAATTTAGAGGAGTTTTGAGAAGGTTTATAGTGTATAAAGTTGATGTTCTTTTGTTACTTCATCCATCTGTATTCTGTTTTTAGCAAACTTCTTTGCTTTCAAAATGTGGATTCTTACCTCAAGCAACCAATTGAGCCCTTGAAGTAGCTTCCATACTGCTTGATGCAATTGTTTGTTTTTTTTCGTGATAGTTGAAACATGTGAAATTGGTCCATGAACTCTTTATTCAACGACTTTTAATGCTTTTGACATTCTGCCTTCTCATTCTTTGCTAATACGGTGAAGGGTGAAAGAGAAAGGAATGTTATAGAATGCTAAGCTTATTAATGTTAAGAATATCATTCTTTCTTTTTAATTTATATGTATTTGTGATTACAGATTTCAAAAAAGGGTTACAAGTCAGCATAGGATGGATACAACTAGCTCAAAGAATGGTGTGATTTTCAGATATTTTACTCGGTATATATTGCTGAGTTCTTATGCTGTTCTAAATTGAGTGATTTCAGTTTTATAGCAAGGAAAGAAGGGAGTGAAGAAAGAAACTGGACTTGGTCTAACATATAAAAAGGATGAAAATTTTGGAGAATGGTACTCTGAGGTTAGTGTTATGGATGATTTAGGATTTTTATTTTATTTACATTATTGAAATATTCTCT